AAAAAAAAAAAAATTTACATGGAGGCGCCGGACACGGTGGCTCACGCCTATAATCCCAGCACTTTGAGAGGCCGAGGCGGGCGGATCACCAGAGGTCCGGAGTTCAAGACCAGCCTGGCCAACATGGTGAAGCCATGTCTCTACTAAAAATACAAAATTTAGCCAGGCATGGTGGCGGGCGCCTGTAATCCCAGCTATTCAGGAGGCTGAGGCAGAAGAATTGCTTGAGCCCAGCCTGGGCGACAAGAGCAAGGCTCCATCTCAATAAATAAATAAATAATAAAAATTCATATGGAAAGGCACAAGCCCTAGAATAGCTTAAACATCTTGAAGAATAAAGTATAAGTAAACATGCTAACTGATATTAAGACATATTTTAGAGCTACAGTACTCAATACACTATAGCATTCATGGAAAAATAGAAACATAAATCAGTGGGGCCAGGCATGGTGGCTCACGGCTGCAATCCCAGCACTTTGGGAGGCCGAGGCAGGTGGATCACCTGAGGTCAGGAGTTAGAGACAAGGCTGACCAACATGGTGAAACCCCATCTCTACTAAAAATACAAAAAATTAGCCAGGTGTGGTGGCGCAGGCCTGTGCTCTCAGCTACTTGGGAGGCTGAGGCATGAGAATTGCTTGAACCCAGGGGGCAGAGGTTGTAGTGAGCCGAGATCACACCTCTATGCAACAGAGCAACACTCCGTCTCAAAAACAGAAGAAACATAAATTAGTGGAAGAGAATAGATAACTCAGAAATAGACCAAAGCATATATGCCCATCTGATATTTGAAAAAGGTGCAAAAGCTATTCAATAGAGGAAGGATAAATTTTTCAACAAATTGTACTAGAGAAGGTGGTTATCAACAGGCAGAAAAATGAACATCAACATAAGCCTCACACCTCATACAAAAACTAACTCAAAATCGATCATGGACTTAATAATTTTTCAGGAAAAAGGGAGATAGGGCTTGGCAAAGAGTTCTTGAGCTTGACTCCAAAAGTATAATCCATAAAAGTAAAACTTGATACATTGAACCTCATCAAAATAAAACTTCTACTCTTTGAAACACCTCATTAGAGGATAAAAAGATGAGCTACAAACTGGGTGAAAGGATTTTTAAGTCATACATATGACAAGGGACTCAGATCTAGAATATATAAACAACTTTCAAAACTTAACAGTAAACAAAAAGACATACAATCCAATTAGAAAAAGAGCAAACAGTAAGACCCCATCTCTACAAAAAAATACAAAAATTAGCCAATGTGGTGGCGCACACCTGCATACCTAGTATTCCTGAGAATTGAAAATATATGTTCACAAAAATTTGTATGCAAATCTTATAGCACCATTATTCATAAGAGGCAGACAAGAATGAAAACAATGCAAACATCCATCAATTGATGACTGAATGAACAAAAATGACTCTTCAGCCAAAGAAAGAAGTGAACATGCTACTAATACACACTACAATGGGGATGAACCTTGAAAACTTTGTGCTAAGTGAAATTAGATACGAAAGGCCACATACTGTGTGATTCCATTTATATGAAATGTCCAGATGAGACATCCATAGATACAGAAAGTAGATTAGTGGTTGTCAGAAGCTGGGGTGAGGAGGGAGTAGTGAGTGACTGCTAATAGGTACAGAGTTTTTATTTTGGGAAGTGGTGAAACCGTTCTAAAAGTAAACTGTAGTAGGCCGGGCATGGTGGCTCACACCTGTAATCCCAGCACTTTGGGAGACCAAGGCAGGCAGATCACGAGGTCAGAAGACCGAGACCATCCTGGCCAACATGGTGAAATGCTGTCTGTACTAAAAATACAAAAATTAGTCAGGCATGGTGGTGTACGCCTGTAATCCCAGCTACTCGGGAGGCTGAGGCAGAAGAATTGCTTGAACCCTGGAGGCAGAGGTTACAGTGAGCTGAGATTGCGCCACTGCACTCCAGCCTGGGCGACAGAGTGAGACTCCATCTCAAAACAAACAAACAACAACAACAACAAAAAAAACTGTAGTAATGGTTTAAAACTCTTGAATATACTAAAAGCATTGAATTGCACACTTTCAAAGGATAAAAATTTTTTGGTATGTGAATTATACTTCAAGCCACTAAAAAAGATATATCAATTATTTAATGATAATGGACAATTCCAATGTATCCAGTTTTTTTCTATTACAACACTACAAGGAACCTACTTGAACATTCATCTTTATGCCTTAACCTTCCTGTTAGTTCTACGAGATACAGTGAAGGAAGGGGAAGTATTGTCTTTGTAGTCTTTATTGTGGTAACCAGTGACCAGTAGTAGAATAGTATTTACTTTGAGTGCTTAGACACTTTGAATTTCTGTAAAACTGAGGTTTCATGGTTGTAGGCAGCCAAGATAGTGTTGACAACCCGCCTGGAGAAGGAGTTGGTAGGATAATCCTGGGTACTCTTGAGGGGAGAAGGGAGCATGTGGGAGACTGGAGTAAGGAAGGGAAGGAAAAAGGTGAGCAGGACGTTGAAAGCCTCTTGTGGGGTTTTTGCTGTTCGTATTTCCTTTCTGGCTTTATAGAGAGCTCTTGGTTTGAATTGGACTGGTTTCTCTTTTGCTTTTTCCCTGTTAGGTGAAGGCATTCTCATCTCGTCAGAGGCTTCAGAGCTTCTCGATTTCATAGACAACCAGGGCCAAGTGCACGTGATCCAGAAATATCTTGAGCACCCTCTGCTGCTTGAGCCAGGTCATCGCAAGTTTGACATTCGGTAATGCATTCATGTCCATAGCTTTTGTTTTTCTTCATCTGAAAAAACTGCCGTGGTATACGGTGGGGAGAGGGACATGGAATATGAGGAAGTGTTTGACCATGTTTAATATGTTACCAAAATTGAGTGCAGCTGAGCAGAACTGAGCTTCTGTACCTGATTTTCTATTTTTCTTTCTTCTTTTTTCCATCTAGGAAATGTTACTACAATTATGGGTTTTCTTTTTTAAAAAATATTCTTTTCTGGCCAGGCACAGTGGCTCACGCCTGTAATCTCAGCACTTTGGGAGTCCGAGGTGGGCAGATCACCTGAGGTCAGGAGTTCAAGACCAGCCTGGCCAACATGGTGAAACCCCATCTCTAGTAAAAGTACCAAAATTAACTGGGCATGGTGGCAGGCACCTGTAATCCCAGCTACTCGGGAGGCTGAGGAAGGAGAATCACTTGAACCCGGGAGGGGAGGTTGCAGTGAGCTGAGATTGCGCCATTGCACTCCAGCCTGGGCAACAGAGTGAGACTCCTGTGTCAAAATAAAAACAAAAAACCTTTTCTATGAAAATGACTTGTGGATTCAAAGAAATGAATATAAATGTATGATCTTGCTTATGGAATAAACTGAGAGATGTACATGGAACACGTAATTCAGACACAACTAGTTGTGCAACCTTGCCAAATAATTTCTCCTCACTTCATTATTTGTGTCCCACTCTGTGGATTTTATGACCACACCTCAGGGGATTGTACGTTTCTGAGCAAAGGGCTTGGCATGGAGAAAGAGGTTGTGTGGTGCATTCTAAAGCTAAAGAGCCCTGCCTCTTCAACTTACCCTTGGTCTTGCTGTCAGCTCCTTACCAAGGACTCTGTTTCCTTGATTGCTTCATAACGATTTGTCACTTCTTGAACATCAACCCTATGTCAGATCATCTTCAGGAGGAACACTATTAAGATTACTAGAAGAGGAGACGTGACAAATGGAGGTTTCATAGGTGAACCTTAAAATCCAGCCCATCTAGGGCTGGGTGCAGTGGCTTATGCCTGTCCAGCACTTTGAGAGGCCAAGGCGGGTGGATCACCTGATGTCAGTATTTTGAGAGCAGCCTGGCTGACATGGTGAAACCCTGTCTACAAAAAACGCAAAAATTAGCCGGGCATAGTGGCATGCGCCTGTAATCCCAGCTACTCAGGAGGCTGAGGCAGGAGAATTGCTTGAACCTGGAAGGCGGAGGTTGCAGTGAGCCAAGATCACACCATTGCACTCCAGCCTGGGCAACAAAAGCAAAACTCTGTCTCAAAAAAACCAAAAACCAAAAACAACCCATCTGAATCTCTTCAAAATGCTTTATTTATCTTTTGATCAAAATCTCCTTGTTATTTATGGTAAAATGTGTTGTCTGCCTCATTGTAGTGATAACTCACTATCTTAGCTAAATCCTAATATGCCTCTTATAGTTTTAGAAACGTCCTCCTTCCCTAGTTGCCTCCCACTCCTCACCTACCCCGTAAAAGAAGTCAAGATGTGGGGACTGATGTATATAATATGCAGAAACTTTGGATAACTTGAGTAAAGCCGTGTTTCTGTTGAATTGCAGAAGCTGGGTCTTGGTGGATCATCAGTATAATATCTACCTCTATAGAGAGGGTGTGCTTCGGACTGCTTCAGAACCGTATCATGTTGATAATTTCCAAGACAAAACCTGCCATTTGACCAATCACTGCATTCAAAAAGAGTACTCAAAGAACTACGGGAAGTATGAAGAAGGAAATGAAATGTTCTTCAAGGAGTTCAATCAGTACCTAACAAGTGCTTTGAACATTACCCTAGAAAGTAGTATCTTACTCCAAATCAAACATATAATAAGGTAACTTAATTGTATCTTTTTTGAT